CAGCCACCCCACCCCCAGCACATGCCCTCACCCCCTTAGTGTCTGTGTCCATTGGTTATGCTTACATGCATGCATACAAGTCCTTTGCTGGATCTCCTACCCCCCTCCCCGCCCTCTTCATCTCCCAACATCCTAATCCTTGGTCCCCACTTAGGATCTTTCTAATGATGACGGGCAGACGTTATATAAAGCTGTGCTGGGTTATGTAACAATATTCCCCCCAATAAGCGTATATTTTACTAAGCCCAACATTTGTTCTTTCCAATGTGTTGGGGGCCCGCAATGTCTGAGCAGGCACCCCCCCTCCCCCCGCCACCCTAAGTGTCCCTGGCAAAGTTTGAAGATGCTTCTGGGGGGGGGGGGCGGGACCTTTGTGTCTCCTTTTATGAACAAGGTTTGGGAGACCTCCCAGCGGTCAGGGCTCCTGGGGTTGCTTGCAAATGCTCCCCCTACCCCCCTCCACCCCCGAGCAATGGCTTCTCAAAGAACCCCAGTGTCGGTGCGATTTGGAAGGTCTTTGGGGGGTTCCTCTGAAATATCAGACAATTGAATGCCGCTTTCTCCCGTCGGGAAGTAACATCCCCCCGCACTCCAAGCTCCCTCTCTGCTCAGGAGCCCCTTTCAGGACAGAAGGCAGCTGAGCGTGACTCGGGCGCCCCCGAGGGAGGGAGGTCGCCGGGGTTGGCAACTATGTAAACGTGGGCTCTTTCGGTTTCCGTTTCGCGTGAATACAAAATAAACGGCGGCCCTGCGCGCTGGGAAGTGCGTCCTGAAAGTTAATAAAACCTGTCAACTTCCATGAAGGCGGGGACGAAGGGCCCACAGGTGCAGGCCCCAGCCGGCCGGGCTACGAGTCAGGGCCGCTAATGAAAAGCCCAGGGCGCCCCATCACTTCCCATCAGCATCATGGGCTCCTCTGCCCCCTGCCTCTGAGGTGTCCCCCGTGAGCAGTGGGCCCGCGGAAGCCACAAGGACCTTGGCTGCAGGTGCGGCTGTGTGTGGCCGAGTGGGGCCGCCTTTGTGTGGCTCAGACCCTTTGATCTGGGCCACAAAGGGCTGTAGGGCTGCAGCCCCCCACCCCCCAGACCCGCACCAGGGAGGGGCGCACTGGGGGCAG